CCTCCACGTCAGCAACAGTGTCCAATAACGAGCCTGACAGGTCAGATCACATCAAAAGTGCCACGTGGCACAGTTCTCCCGTGAAGACATTCAACAGCACACAGTATCGACATCAACAGAAGACTGTGGCAAATGCAACGTCAACAATGAAGACAGTGTGGCAAATGCCACATCAGCAATGAAGACAGAGTGGCATGCGCCACATCAGTAATGTCAAAGACAGAGTGGCCTTGCGCCACGTCAGCAGAGGCTGGCACCGAATCAGAAAGGTGCCAGCGTGCAAGCAGCAGTCTCGCGTCGTCGTCCAGAGTGCCAGCGTCCAGCCAGCATCAAGCCAGCGTCCAGCTAGCGTCAAGTCGGCGTCAAGCCAGCATAGCAAGACTGAATGCTGACTCCCTGGAGGCAGGGTCTTATGTAGTGTTGGACCAGATTGACCTGCCACAGGTCTCCCACCCACCGTGGCTCAGATTGACTCGCAGCCGACGGCCTGGATCCCACACAGTTGCAGACTTCCACTTGGCCTGAATGCCATCTTGGTACCTGCATACAAACAAGTGTGTGTGTCTGACCGACGGCCTGGGCTGGGTCCACGGTGACTTTGACTGAGGCCGTGTACAGTTGACTTTTAGTCAACTGTCTGGCGCAGGGCCCCTGATTTCATTTTTTTTTTTGGGGTCCTGCATCTTTTGCGGCCTGAAGCCGACATCGGGCCTGGGGCCCCCTAGACAGGTTACGAGACATAACAATCGGGTTATTGCAAATTTACCTAAGCACGGGCATGTTCAAACATCAGAGACATCCATGCAACCAAAAAAAACAGCGAGGGCATATCATCAATCACGGATCGTCAAGCATCTTTAGATATAGACAGCCGACACCACCGAGCCGGCGCTTTTCGGCAAGTACACCAGGTGGGAGACCTGGTGTCTTTGCCAGACCTATGGGTTGGCATGTGCTTAGAGAGTGACCGAGTATTTAATTGTCCATGGGATTGGTCTCCTTCAAAGGCACCAACACTTCGCTGGCAGGACGCAGCAGGGTCTGGCAGTCCGTGCAACTGTTAACCCCTGTAGTACCCCCTCCGAAGGAACCTGCAAAAAACCCACTCACAGCAGGATCTGTCGGTCGATGGGATATGACCTTTTCACTTCTAGGCAGCAAAAAAGGCAGTGGCGCACACCTTCACAAATCGCAGAAACTTACAAGAGGTCCTACAGCAAACCAGGTCTGAACTTGTCAGACAAGGTCCAGTGCGTTTGCATTAGGACATGGTTCATACTCAGCTTCAATGCTTGCTGCATCTTGGCCAGGTTCATTCTCAGCTTAAATGTTTCCTGCATCTTGGCAGACGAGGTCCAGTGCATTTGCATTTGGACATTTGTGCCAACCAGTGCAACAATACCGCTTGTATTTGGACATGGTTCATACTCAGCTTCAATGTTTGCTGCATCTTGGCCAGGCTTACAGTGCCGTACAGCCCCAAACTTCACATTCAAACTCAGAGCACCGGCATGGGCCTGGTCCACGACAGGCACAGAAGCATGGACCTGGCCCATAACAGGCACAGAAGCATGGACGTGCAGCATGACAAGCACAGAAGCATGGACCTGGTCCTCATCTGGTGCAGAAGCATGGGCATGGTCCACACCAGGACCAAAAGCACGGAAACGGCCCACAACTAGTCCAGCAACACGGGTGTGGTCCATGACTGAACCTGGTCTGCAGAACTGCAAACAAAAACTCAGAACAGCAGCATGACGTCGCCCACCACTGGGCCAAAAGCATGGACTTGACCCACAACTGGTCCAGCAACATTGGGTGTGGTCCACACCCGCATGTGGTTCACAAGCAGACCGCACCCACAAAGGAAATCAGAACCAGTTCACGACTGCACCCACAAACTTGCAAAGAGCAACATTGGCCTTTCATGATTTGGACCAGAACTTGCCAACCAGTCTCACAGCCCCACTTGCATCTGAAAATGGTTTATGCTCAGCTTGGAGATATGCTGCGTATAGGCCAGATTCATACAACCAGCTTGGAGATATGCTGCGTATAGGCCAGATTCATACAACCAGCTTGGAGATATGCTGCGTATAGGCCACAGTGATGCACAGATATGCTTAACTCAATGGCATGCAGCATTTGGACCAGTTTCACAGCTTCCAGTATGCTGAACTTGATCAGTTACTCACCTTACAGCATGCTGCATTTGGACCAGGTTCATACTTAGGGCGTGGTGCATTGAACCAGAATCATGCCTAGGTTCATGCTACTCAGATGATCTTCCTGCTTAGGTACGTGGCATGCTCAATTGGATCAATTTTCCATGACATACAGCTTTATGTGTGGAACTTCATAGCATGCTGAATTTAGATCAGATTTGAACTTGGGTCCACCGTTTTGCTGCATTTGGATGAAGGTTCATGGCTACGCTCATGGGACACTGCATTTGGAGCAGCTTCGACTGCACAGGTACAAGCTGGCCACTGGACCTGTGGCATCTGCCAACAGCCTTGTAGATGCCCTACCCACTTAGGGACATTCCTGGCGAGCAGAGGCTCAACAGCCATTCCTTCAGACTTATCCTAAGCATCGAGGCCGCAAGGACAGGAAACAAGGACGGCGAAGCGGATACAGGGACAGAGGGAGGGAGGGGGGGAGGGGGCAAGGCGCATGGCGCCAGGACAGGCCAGTACCAAGCACTGAACACAACCGTCTGATCATGGATAGTGCTGGCAACAGCCCGTCATGAAGTAAAATACAGGGCTCTTGACACCTTTTCCCCATCCTTAACATTTGATCAGGTGCATGACAGTTCCGATCAGAGCAGGCTTGGTGAGGCGGCGTTTAATGGGGGGACAGCTTATGGAGAACATTACAAAGACAGTCAGTATTTCCTCTCAGTGGGCCACTGCAGGTCCAGTGGGATGAATTAACAGGTGGAGAAGAGCTCAGCAACAACCTGCTGCATGGTATTGGGAAACCAGCATGAGCACCAGCATCCACTATCGTTCTCACTCCTTGCATGATAAGACCAGGTCCATTATAAAGGGTTTTGGGATTAGTGTTGTGTGAAGGCAGTGTGTCAATGTGTTGGCTCTCATGACTGTATAGCTGCACAATTGCTGATAAACCACAAGAAGTGGAGAATCATTTCTGTGAATCAGTTTTGTTTCTTGGACCGGCCACCACCTTCTCCCTTTGTGCCAAGCTCCTGTCCATGTTTCATTGCACTGGGACTAGTTGGTATCTGCATGTCTGTCTACATGGCATAGACTTCCACACATACATGCCTGGTAACTAGTGAATCAGATGGTGACAGAGTTGGTGATAGAGAGTCGTTCAAGTGGACTGTACGGCCAACAACACACACTCGTGGAATGGCAAGAGAGAGAGAGAGAGAGAGAGAGAGAGAGAGAGAGAGAGAGAGAGAGAGAGAGAGAGAGAGAGAGAGAGAGAGAGAGAGAGAGAGAG